TAACTTTATTCTAAGAGAATATGTAATGTACTTTAAGTTCTACAGGACAAAATACTGCAGCACAACCATGGTATGAAATTTCTTTGCCAGTGATGTCTACCAGTGCTTTTCCGAGATACATTAACCACACAATTTAATTTAATTAATTTAATTAAACATTTCAATCTCAGAATTCTTTTAGACCTTGGTCAGTAGGAGGGTTATCACACTTGTTCCAATCCATCCACAAAATTCCACACAAAAAAGTGGGGCAAAGTCTCCTTGGACCACCCCTAAATCCGCCCACTCTACAAGCATTATAATCAGTGTTGCAGTGCTCAGGAGGCTCAATATTAATTAAAACAAGTACATGTACAGTACCCCCTCTCTCTTTGATGGGCAACTTTGGGACTGGCACAAAATGTCTATCTAAGAGTAATGTCTGTCCTATAGAGAGTCAAGGGAGTAAAGGCAGGCAGGGACAAACACTAAGTGTCTGCAGAGGTGTTCACAATTATTTAAAGTAATTTAGAGTGTTCTGTTGAAAAAGAGTCAACTGTATCTACTGTATGTACGAGAATTGAAACTGAAGTGAACCTTGAAGTAAAACTAAAAATCAGGTGTCTTACATGATAAAGAGCAGCACGAGGACATCCACAGAGATATGCTCCAAGTACCAAGCTACTGGACGACATGCCTCCAGAGCACATTCCAATCACAGGTTTTGAGAGATCAATTCCAGCATCAGAGTAAACTATAGATAATTAATCATTAATATTATTATGTTTGCCTATGAGTGTTGCCAAATCAGGATCAGGCTTAACTCTATTATTTCTATTATTATTTTTTCTAACCCAGCCTTCACTTCCCTGCAAGCAGAGTCTCCTTTGATCTTCCTAAGCCTTCACAGGCCTGCATGGTCTCATAATACCACTAATTTTCCACATGTTAACCACATGTTTCTACAAATTGACATAAAAAATCAAACAAATCAGCCAGACTAGTCTAGCTCTTGAATTGAATGTTGCATTTTTATCATTTGTACTCTAATCGATAAGCTTTGTGGTTTGGCAGTCTGCATAATTAGGGTAATGGTTGATCCACATGAATTCCTGGTAAGTCAGAGTGTTCTGGTCTACAAGAGGGGGTTCTGTTATTAAGTTAGACTGGGGTAGGTTCATACAGAGATTTTGGGTGTCAGCTAGTTTAGAATAGCAAAGCCAGCAACTAATTGCAACTTTAAAGCTTATGTTTGCAGCTGGGCTACAGTGCACCCTCGCCCCTCCCTCTAAAAAGAGCAACCCTGGAATGAGCTAGATTGCTGCAACCACACCCGTCCCATTCGAAATATATTTCTATTGTGCAAGTACTGAGGTGAATTGAAATGAATTGTTTGCTGGAAGGTATTCAATAACCTTTCTTGAGCTCATCAACAGTTTTGAGAGTTCTGGTATCAGGATTGAACAGACTTTCAAATGGAATGTTAATGGCACCAGGATAGTGTCCACTTTTTGGATCTAGAAAATATAATCAGCATACATGATGATTAGAGACTCAGAGCAACTTCAATCTTGCACTTGATAAAAGAAGACTAAGACGATGGGTTTATTAAATTCCTTCTAATGTTCCAACTATATTCACTTAATGATGTAAGATCTATCAGACATTCCAATCTATAATTAACAGTTAGTTTGCACTGCTTAATAGTCTATGCAACCGTTGAAAAGGAATAATAAAATAATAAGGCTAACATGAACTTGAAACAGAAATTAAAAACAGTACTTATTACAGTCAAACCAAGTCAAGCGTACCCCCCAAGATTCTATTAATGAATTGATTATTTGAAAAATGAATCCGTTGGTCGTTGGGCATTGACCACAGTTTAAGTTTCGCCGTAAAGACGTACGCATTACTGCAGTGAATATTTTACGAGAACTTCTCTGTATTTGGTAAGATTGGAAATCTTTGAATGGATTAAGCTTCTTAGAAGACATTTATATCAATTTCAGGGAAAATGGAGCTGGTAGAAATTTCATAACTGCCTCGCGTGTGAATTCACGGCTCATTACACATGCAAGAATGCGGAGATCACTCTGAAATCTACAACTAGCAACGGATTCAACTTTTGAATAATAAATTCATTAATGTATTCTTGGGGGGTACGCTTGACCTGGTTTGACTGTAAACAATTCTGTTTAAATTAGGCTACACTGACTCAAATATCAATTATATTTGCATATTTAATTATTAATAATATCATTACCATCTGATGATTTATTGAACTTAGCAGGAACACGGCTATCACAAACTTGTGCTTTCCGAGATGTGAGATTTTCAACCATGTCCTGAAATTTAACAATCCACTTTGGATTCAACTTTGCCTTAAAATCCCCCTTCTGAAAATGAACAAATAATAACTTTTAAAATGGTGTGGTGCCTATTTAATTATTATCAGTCTTCGATCATGCGATTTTAAAGCTACTCAGAGTTGTCCCTTGATGTTTAGTCAAAACTGTTGATCACCCTTACCATTTTTTTAACCATCATATTTGTTGTCTTGTAGCCATCAGCAATCCATCTTTCCAGTCCTCCATCCAATACAGACACTTTTTCATGGCCAAAAAGCTGAGCAAGCAAACAAAGAAGATTTCAAGCACAAATTATCCTTAAAAGTCAGTGAATTACACTTTTACTCAATATAATTTCCATACCATCTGGCTTTGGAAGTTCAGATGTACCCCTTAGGTAACTTAGTTTGAATATTAGCCCAGAGGTTTTCATTTTAATTTTAGGCATGGGAGTGTGAGAGGATTATTAATAGCTCGATCTTCACATCTGGTTACATCGCATGTAATTCTAATTAACCTTTTGGCATTAAACAGGGCATAAAGAAATGTTTATTACTCTATGGCAAGCTCTGCAAGAGGGCAGGATAAAGATTTATTAAATAGAGTATTCCACTTTTTTATTGCCTGGCCACCTAAATGACCATAGGCCTTATAATCTTGTCCATTCAGGATTGTCATCTTGTAATTGGCTACCACAAGAAACAATTTTCTTTTTGCAAAAGTAAATAATAAATGATATCAATATTAGACCTTTCCCGCATTCCTGTAAACAAAGGCACCAACTCGAAGCTCTGGTGGACAAAATACAGTGATTTGTATGAAATTGTCCACGCGAGCCTTGCCCTCATGTCTATAACATGTAAATATGAAAGATGATGATGAAAATAATGATTGAATCACAGTAATTAAAATAAATGCCTTATGATGATGGTGGTGTTGGCAGTGACAACTATAGGGGTGATGAATGGTACCTCAAAAAGCGTGGGTCTCGGAAAATTTTGGCAGGATCTCGAAATCTCGGAAGTGTTTTTGATAAGTCTCGAAGTCTCTTTTTTTCATGGTTTGCTTTTACTTTTTTTGAGTCTCGAAACTTTTCACCAAAGAGTCTCAGGCTCGGATTTCTAACTAGGATCTCGGCGTCTCGGCGTGTCTCGGATTTTACCATTTGCCACCCCTAACTATATCTCCGCATAATCACCTTAAACATCCACCAAGTTCGTGCTCCAAGAAAAAAACCATATCTTCCAGTGTTTTCATAAATGACAACGTGGTCTCTGCTGTTCACTGCACTTCCTCTGACATTCATTTCAAACATTTCCACATTTGGAATGTTGCGGGGATAAGTGGGTGTATTCTCTACTCCAAAAAATATGTCCATGTAGGAGGCACTAATAACATGTCGCCTGTAAAGGAGGAAATATCAATTAACCCTTTAAGTCCCAATAGTGCTCAAAATCAATTTTCTCCTAACGATATCCATAGACTATCATGAGCAAAGTCTACGAGAATTAACAAAATGATCACAAAGAGAAAAATATTTGATCTTTTACCAAATTGTCACAAATAATTCTTCAAGGAAATGTACGGAGACCAGTTTGGAGAATTTGTATGTGGATATTGGGACTTAAAGGGTTAAACATTTTTCACATTTTGCCTGTTAACTATAGACTGGTGAAATGGATCAGGACGGTGGGACTATGGCCATCTCTTTTTTTTTTTTTGTTTAGCGTCGTCCGACCAACCCAAATTTTTGGCAGAACAGGAACCTTTTTTACAGCATGTTGTGCATTTTTTTAATTCAAATATATGTAAATGTTAACTTTGAACAAAATCCTTGTTGTTAGTCTAAATATGTCTTTTTGTTTCCAGGCTCCACAGCAATGATGCTGGGGTACTAGGTCTCCTCTTCCGATTTTGTGATTTTTTTTTTCATTTATAACCGACCAACCCAATTTCAGGAAACTTATTCGACACTAAGCAGAAAAAAAAGCGGGATGGCCTAACCTAGAAAAGAATCTTGCATTAACAATTTTATTGTCCAATCAAATTAACTGACTGACTTCACTTTGTTGCTTTTTAAATACAAAGCTTCCCTGTAAAAAGGCTGGACATGATGATAATACATCAGTCAATTCTAGCTGTGGCCATCACACCCCTTACACCACCGCCCCCCCCCCCCCCCCCCCCCCCCCCCCCCCCCCCCCCCCCCCCCCCCCCCCCCAGCGGCAACCCCAATTTTTTTTTTTTTTTTCTTTCTTTCCTCTCAAAAAAAAAAAAAAAAAGATGAGGCGGGGAGAAAAAAAAAACGTTTTTCTTTTTTCTACGAACGATGGGATCAAGACGCAGGTGACATCTCTTCCCTACACATTGTAATATAAATCGAAATTTTTAACAAAAAAAACTGATACTCCTCTTCTCTTTCTTTTTTTTTAAAAAAAAACCTCCTCTGAAAAAAGGTGGACCAAACACAAAAATACCACCCCATTCCTCCCGCCGCCCCCCCCCCCCCCCCCCCCCCCCCCCCCCCCCCCCCCCCCTTCATCCTACCTCATCTCCCCAACAGCCTTAGGACAGGGAAACTACATTGTTTTTCTTGTCCCTGACCTTTGAACCCAAAAAACCGAAGTTAATTTACGGTCCGGGGAAAAAATTCCGCTGTCTTTTAATTCCGGAGCAATGTAGCGCATAGGGAACTGTACCTCATTTTACCACAAGGTTATGTCAATAAGGCAATAAGAATAACCTGTGGTTAGTTACTGTATTAGCGTGTCTTTCACAAGTGAAAGATGAATTGCCAATATTGCTGCAACATTTAACAACAGACGCCTTACTCAGAGAAATCCATGATATAATCTTTGTTACTGAACCATGTCGCGTCCAAAACAGCTAAACTTCCTTCCCTTTTCGTGAGCTTTTCGCTCAGCCACTCGGTAGACACGACACATGGAGTATGTGAGCCCATTTCTACCTTCCGCTGTCTGATCGATGCAGACTGTAGCAAAGACTGTAGCGATCAGTTCCTTGTTTGTCCTTGTTGGACGTGCATAGCTCTCAAAATTGACCGATCACGTAATTAAATGGATATCAGACATGCTGCATATGTAAAAACACCCATTGTGCTAGCTTATTGTCCTAAAGAACGAAACATTCCGCGAAGGTCTTTCAATATTCAAGCTCCATCACTTCACAAAAAACTTTATTCGTTCCCAGTCTCTCCGTTCTTTTCAGAGAAAAATGGAACTAAGGACTCGATTTCTGGGGAACTGCGGAATAACATGTCTAGATTTGACCCTCAAGTAGGTGACCGCCTTATGGTGTTGAAGGTTGGCCGCTTAATGACAGAAACGTCACTTTATTTTATCGAAGCAAACAATTTTTAAAGGCTTGTCACCACTATCGTGCAAGACACAGCTCTGCGTGCTGCTTGGACGGGGCAGAGTTTGGTTTTCTGGGTCTTATGTTTTTTGTGAAAATGTATAAAAAAAACAAGGCATACAATTTCACAAGCATCTTGAACAGGGTGTTTTTTTGGTCCAGAAGCCTTTAAAAGCTGATGTGAGGGTAGACTTGTCTACAAGTCGAGCTAAATTTTTTTTACGAGCGCGAGGCGCGAGCCACAGATTTTTTTTTTTGTTTTTTTTGGGGGGCGGGGGGAAGCGAGCGAGAGAGCGGAGGGGCCAACTACCGGAACCGGAAATGAAAAGCGAAGAACTTTGACAAAGTCTAGTGTACTTGTGAGGGTTGCCGATCAAGCGGTCTGACAGGAGTCCATCCTGGTTATGCCTAGTCAAAAGCCTTCTTCTTCGTCTTCCCTTTTTTATATTAAAATTTGTTTACGTCTCCAGTCAAATCGGTTACGCTATTCCTTAGTGGTGCACATGTGGGGGGGTGGGATGAGGGGGTGGAGGGGATGAGAGGACTCAGGGGAGGTTTGGGTAGAGGTGTGCCCTCAGTCAAGGCCTTTAAATTTTATCCCTTGACCTGAATCATCAAACAAAAAATCATCAATTCGCTACCCTATGGAGACAAGAGACTTAACTTCTTGACTCTGATTCATTTCGTTTCACGCACAGAATTAAGTAATTCAAAAACTGTCATCACATCATGGAATAAGGTTTTTGGAAAAGAACAAACCAACTATTCAAACAAAAACAAACAAACAAAAAACAACTACAACATTGTTGTGAGCTGCTGAGAATACAAATCGTACATATCTGCATATTTTGCAGAATACCAGTCGTGTTACAAAGCCACAGGTCACTTAGGGGCTGAGCACCCCTGCACCCTCCCCCTAGATCCGCCCATGCGGTTTTCTTCCTTTTCATTGGCCTAAAGTAAACCACGTGACAAATCAATCAATCAATCAATTTATTTAAAGTCATTGCGTGGGATTAAGATTCCCCTCAGTATCCAAGGCAGGGGCTCACGTATGAAACGCATGACAAAAATAAATTTAAAAAGTAAAATGAGATAAAAAAAATAATAATAATAATATTAAGAATTGCTAAGAAGTTACATAAATAAACGCCTACAAATAATGGTCTGCTCATGCGCAATGTCGACCAACTGTGTTTGGCTTTAAGTGTTTGGTAAACGAAACCAAGCTTTTTTCCTTCTTGCGATCGCTCTTGTGTGATCGGGAAAAATGGCAGATCGCTTCGCTTCCCAAAGATTTTGACTCGTTGCTATGTGACGTCACACTGGCCTAAAGCGTAACCAGAAAAATAAGTTAAATACAAAATAAGATCGACCGAAGGGAGGTTTTTGAGCCCACGAGATTGAGCAACCCCCACAAACCCTTGTTTTCACCGGGGTGCATCAGTTGAGACGACTGATGCGGTTCTAAATCTCAAAGGAAAGCGTCACATTGGGATGCAGGGCTAGTACAGCATCACAGTAGTTTTTTGACACGAGAGATTTCATAATACCATGTGTCTAGTACCTAGGATATAGTAGTTTTACGGTAGACAGGAATACCACGACTGTAATAAGGGTTACAGACGGAAACAATGCTAGTTTAGTCTCATTCTCTCTTGGCATCGCAGTAGCAACATTCACTTTTATTGCACTAGCAATCCTTTTAGCTATATACCATGTATTGAATTTTGTAATGATTAATAAAGGCTGTCTTGTATCCCAAACAATGCCTGGGTTTTTTTAGTTTTGTTGATTTAGACATACATGCATGCATACATAAAACTTTAATTTATTTCACCTCGAATTCCAGAGTAGCCAAAAATAGGCTAGTATTCACTAAAACCGCAGGACACCAAACCTCCCCTGGGTCAGTTACATTGTCAAAACCGAAAAATAATAGACCTTTATCTGAACGCGGCCTCCTTTTTGCATAAAAACAAAACAATTTTGCACGCCTGGCCTCAGCGGAAGGAGAGGTGTGCGGTGCCCATGCGCAGGTCACGCAGTTGACGTGGACACCATACCTCGCTTTTCTGGGTCCATAACGCATATTTGATAGTCAGAACGACCATTAACCCTTTCATACAAAACGATTCTCGTTTCTTTTTAAATATGTCTTCACAGAATGCAAACCCAATCGTGTCCACAAGTTGGCTGAACACTGAGCTCAACGAAAAAAAGAATGATTTAGCCGTTATTGATGCCACTTGGTTCCCAGACAAGGATGCATCAGAGGACTTTGCAAAGTAAGTTGCTAGTGCTCTCTAACTCGTGAAGTCGATTTATGGCAAGTCTAAGTAAGCTGATGAGAAAGACGCCTAAACGATTAACTGAAAACTGCCTTTGCTCACTATTTTTCTACTTTATAAGCATGCCTTATTTTAAGTGAAACTCCAGTCGACGGCTAAGATGAGCCATAACTCACTCAAAGTTGGAGCCACCAGACCGGAACATTCATTTACTATGGACACACCCTTAATACATATTTCAGTCTCTGAACAAGCTATCTCTCGTTCATCTGACTTGATGAATATGAACATAAATGTATGATACTTTTTCTCCGAGAGTTTCAGTATTGGAACAGTCGAATTCGCAGAACTAAACTTTCACCAGGCATGCAAATTAATCCTCGGCCCCTTAACCTGCGGACGCAGACGTACTTCCGGTCGTCTCTTTTTAACACGCGAAAGGCCAAGGTCTCAGTAAAAGTAGTGTGAAAAACATACAAAAGGCCTACTAAAGCGCGAAGCAAGATAAAGACAATTTTTGTAGGAATCAATCCCGTACAGCCCTATGGATTTATTATGCATGCAGCAAATTCATACTATTTCACGCAAGTGTAGTCTAAAATGTCATACGTGGTACCCAGGGGGGTACTCCTAGGAATTCTTGGTGGAGGTGTGCCGCCCGGTTCTTAAAATCCTGACCCGATTTCAGACCAAAAAATTTTATTTTCCACACCCGTTTTCAGACTAGACCTCTAAAATCCATACCCGTTTTCAGACCTGGCCTTTAGGCAGAAATTATGTTATCATTACTTAGATTAGCGCGCAAACAAAAAAAATATTCAAATCCGGTTCGAATTCGCATATTTCTGTTAAACAATAAAAGTGGAAGCGATGGAAAATGTTCGCCGTGCGCACGTTTTTGACTTAACATTATTAAAGGAATTTTATTCGGTGTTTGGGATTTATTGCAAAATTCATTCGTTTCGGAAAATATTTATAGGTTAAGGAAAAATATCATAAAAAGCAATTTGACTCATTTTACTTGGTGTTAACTCCTACGCATCAGCACTGATTAAAGGACATCCTCTCCCGAAATGAGAAAATGATTTCTGTTGATTCATTCTCTTTGGTCTTGTTGAAGGAAAATGTTGATTGAAGAGTTACGTTAGCCACTTGTGACAATTGTTACAATATATGTTTGTAGTGGAGTTGTTATAAGCGTTCTTGTTGATTGGTTTGAGTAAGCTACTTCACTACTAGTAGGATTGGTTTTCTAAGTTAATTGATGATCGATAGAAAGTTTCTCCTGACATGACATGAATTCGGTACAAAGGAGATGTACCAATTTGGTGCATCTCCGCGGTAACACTTCTGTTCATGAGATATGTTTAATTAAAGCCTTTGACAGGTGACAAAGCCTTGTTTATATTAAGTATTTTGTCTAGTTTGACATCCTTGACCTTAATCTGGTCTCCCTTCGATATTTACCAGGAACTACTACCCTGCTTGTTTTTAAGAGTTTTAAGCGTGTTTCCTCGAGTTTTTAACCGAATTCTTGGCAGTGGATAACTTTAATTAAGCTTAGTGGTTTTATAGGTGTTTTTGTAATCAAACAACTATTGTTTTAAATTCTGCTTTGTACTTTGAACTGCATTTTTAATTTATCCTTTAAGTTTGAGATCACGTTCGTGGTTAAATTATGGAAAAGTTATAGCCAATCATCTTCGATGAAGAAGCTTAACACCTTCTGTAAATTGACAACAACCTTGGATTTTCAAACTGTAATTTTAGTACTTTCCTATCTGTTAGTATGAAAAGTCTGTTTACTGGTATATACCTTGTAGTTTTTATATTGTTCTCCTAGTTTTATATTGGCCAGTTGACTTAAGCTTAGCAGTGAAAACTTCGGTTGAAGAGTCATTTCGACAAAGCAATTGCCTCGAAGGTTTCATGCTAATGAAATTGTTTTGGCCAATCGGATTAGACTTACGTCAGCATTCGGCTTACGCCAAGCAGCTGGTTTCCTGG